TAAGACTGGGATTAAACATAAAAATTAGGCCAGATGAGTTTTTATTTATGTTTATGTATTTATGTATGTATTTAGTTTTTGAGTCCAAGTCTTACTCGGTCACCCAGGCTAGAGTGCAATGGCACACTCACAGCTCACCACAGCCTCGACATCCTAGGCTCGGGCGATCCTTCCTACTCAGCCTCCCAAGTAGCTGGGACTACCAGCACACTCCACCATTCCTGGCTAATCTGTTTGACCTTTTTTGTAGAGGTAAATTCCCGCTATGTTGCCCAGGTTGATCTCAAACTCCCGAGCTCAAACAATTCTCTCACCTTGTCCTTCCAAAGTGCTGGCATGACAGATGTAAGCCACTGCACCCAGCCTCATCTCTGTTTATTAAGTATCATCTATATGGAGAAATTGGGTTGATTTCAAAAACTTGTACAAACAGTATTTGGTACTCTCTGTGGCTTCTGGTGTCCGCTGGGCATCTTATAACATATCCCCCCATGAAGAAAGGGGGATTGCTATACTTAAAAGGACCCTTCCAGGGACAATAAGGCAGCTGCTCATTCAGAAAATATTTGTGAGGGGACTGCCACCTGTGAGTTCTTGTGCTCGCTGCTGTGGGAAAGGCAAAACTGAGTCAGACATAGTCCTTGCCCTCAAGGAGCTTGTGACACCAATGAGGCCAAGTTCATTATGGTGAGGTAAGATAGAAAAAGCATGGCAGAGGCTGCCCTCTCAGCCCATGGTGCTGAGCAGCGGGGATAGCGGTGAGCAGGCAGCTGCCAGGAACTGAGACACCACCCAAAGGTGGGAGTAAGGACGTCAGGCCACCTTTACAATGTGGCAAATGGTCAGCCTTGGGAACGTGAGTAGGGGAGGAGTCGGTTAATTATTTCACCTGGGAAGGCTTTCTTTTCCACTCTTGGGACTTTCCTTGCATGTGATGAACAGATCCTGTGGGGTATTTATCTTTTTCTTCCTTGAATCTCTTTTCTCCTTTCCTCTAGGCCATGTAGAGTGTGTCCAGGAGGGCTCTCCAGGAAGAGGCAGAGCTGTGGGTACACAGAAGGGGTGGAGTTCGAAGGAGGAACTACAGTGTGCAAACCGCAATCGAGCATGCGCTTCATTTTACAACCCTGACTGGAAACAAATTTGTTTACACTGAGTCTTTTTTTTTTTTTTGAGGTGAAGTCTCACTCTGTCACCCCGGCTGGAGGGCAGTGACACACTCCCGGCCACTGCAGCCTCGACCTGCTGGGCTAAGGTGATCCTTCTGCGTAAGCCTTCCCAGTAGCTGGAACTACAGGCATACACCACCATACCCAGCTAATTTTTTTTTTCTTATTGTAGAGATGAAGTCTCACTAAGATGTCCAGGCTGGTCTCGAACGCAAGGGCTCAGGCAATCCTCTCACCTTGGCCTCCCAAAGTGTTGGGATTATAGGCATGAGCCACCGCGCCCGGCCCACATCGAGTCTTTTAACCATTTCTCTGAGGTCAGAGATCACAGCCCCATCTTTGCCAAAAGCCCACTGTCTTGGAACATGAAATAAGCTTAGGACTGAAAACAGCCTATCTTCCCATGCCCATCTTCCTTGAAGGCTTCAGTCTCTCTCCAGCCCCGGATCCTGTCTAATCAGTAACACATTAACTTGGTTTTCCTGTTGATCTATTCTCTGGTACTGCCTCTCTGACTCATGGCCTCTTCTCCTTTACCAGCTGCTGGGACTGTCCTTGCTATCCCTGACTGGCCTTATTCTCAAAACTATTTTGTTCTGAGAAGCCTTGGAATTCTACAAATGCCTATTCCTGTACATGCTGAGAGAAAATGGAGATGATAAAGAACATGACCTTGAAGAGCTTCCTGTCAATGAGAGGACAAAGCTGACACAGGGCAGAGGTAAATGCCACCATTAAAAAAATACGTAAAAGGGTGCATTAGCCAGTTTGTCAAGTAAGCTTAAAATGATTGGATCCCTGCTGCCTGGGCCCTTCTCTGCCCAAGTTAGCGCCAAACTCCACTGGCTTGTCTCAGGACCACCTTGACCACTGTGGCTCAGTTTCTCCACCACTGGGACTCCTGGGTCTTCCCACACACATACAAGGGTCTGCATTTCAAAGCTCAGGAGATTCATCAAAGCAATGTGCCCAATAGGCAGCCTGAACTCATTACTGGGAGAAAGGAAGTTAGGAGTCTGACTGGGAGGAGTTTGCTATTTCCAAAACAGAATCACAGTCTTAGCCATTATGGGAAAACTCAGGACTTTCTTACACTTACTAAGTTGCCTTTATTTTGGATACTTGAGGGTGAAGGTCATTCTCTTTTCAGTGCTCAGGACATTTGAATATCATCAAGCACTCCTGGGCTCTTGGATGAATTTGCCTCCAGTTTAATCTGGCTCTACCTTTGGTCCTCAGTAAAGATAAAAGGAAACCGAATGAGGGACCTTATGCCCCATGTCTGAATTTCTGTTTTAAAATGTGACTGGGAATCCAGGCTCTCTGGAGCTGGGCCTATCCTTCCTCTTGCCAGTATTCTCGGGGCCAGGATGGAACTCCGATGGGGAATCTGCTGGGTGTCTTCCTGCCGGGTCTCTGCAGGTTGCCTAGCCCCTCCCACCTTCCCCATCCACTGTGACCCTCTCCACACATTCTGTTCCCCCTCCTGCATCTTCCTAGGATCAGCTGCAGCTCATCCCAACCTTATTCTCTTGGTGCTAACAGCAACAAGTTGCAACAGGGTCTTTTTCCAGAGCACAGAGAAGGAGGGCAGTTCTGAGTTCTTTTCCTCACTGTATCATAAGCATCAACACTTCTGCTTGGCCCAGAGCTCAGGAAGGTTATTTGTAACCCTCCTTGAGTTATTCTGTCAGTAAAATAGGTCTTCGTGGGCTGGCACTGCAGCCTAGTTAACCATAACCTTCGGGGGGGGGGGTGGCTGCAGATTTCAGGCTGAATATGCCAAGACCTTCATGTGTGCTATCTTCTTTAATCTTCACAACAATCCTATAAAACAGGTATTAGCATTAACCCCTATTATGCACAGGAAGTTACTGAAACACAGATTGATTAAAGAATTTGCCCAGGGTCACACAGCTAGAAAGTGGCAGAATCAAGACTAAGACCCCGCTTTGTCCCCTGCCAAAGCCCACACCTGCCTTTAACTGCCATACATTGGGTGTTGATAACATGTACAGAATAATTGTTCATACTGATAAATTACTAGTTATATATTAACAAATTATATTAGCATTATAGTAACACATATACTGGCGTACATTTAACAAAGAAGAGTGACTATCTGTTTTGGTTTCCTTAAACATCAAATAGTCGAAAGACTTTCTCTTTATTGAGGGACTCTGTGATGCAGTCTTTATGGGAAACGAGGTGCAACCTGAGGGAGCCATCACAGAATAGTCATATACGATGAAACTGGAGGGATTTTTCTAGATTCGAGCCCTGAAGCAAGTGCTGGTCCTTTATTCCTGCCCCGGGAGCAATGGAGAGACACAGAGAAGCTGAGAATTTACAGGAAGCTGGCAGAAAACCGAGTCACTGGAACCAGGTCAGTCAAGCAGAGGCGTGGGTGACCCCGCGGAGGTGTTCCCCGCCTTTGCTGCATCTCCCTCTGCGATCAGACATGGGCAGAGGAGATCAAAAGAGAGAAGGCCTAAACACCGAGGGTGCTGAGGATGTACGCACAGACAAGTTCTACGCCGGGAAGGCAACTCTGGCCGACCTCCACGGTGGCACGATTGTCTTCCGTGAAGCCCACCTACTGGGCTCTGCTTTGAGATGCTGGGGGGCGGGGAGCGGCCTGGCCAGCGGCTCCGTTGGCCTCGGCCACAGGAGGCGGGGAACGAGGCCCTTCTGCTCAGCTTCCGTGTGCGTCTCCATGCCAACGCCGGCTTCCCTAGCCGCGGCGGTTCCCCGTGCAGTTGTGCTGGGTCCGGTTTGCAGGAGATGTCTAGGTCTTAGCCTGGGGGCCCTTCTCTGAGCTCGGTGACCCCAGCATCAGTTCTAGCGGTACCCTCTCCTCAAAGGTCTGAGTTTCAGCTTCTTGGGGTCCCTCCCCCACATTTTAAATGTGAGAATTTTCGACTCTTCCCTTTATTCCTTCAATCTAGGTGTTAGGTCCTTCTAACAATTGCTGCTGCCCTAATCATTTAGTGCCCCCCCCCCCTCCTGTTAGCTACTTGACTGTCCACCCAGTTAAGTTCTTTATATTCAGTTTGCTCAGTTCAGATTTTTGGCCAGGAATGCTGCTTTTTTGGAGTTGTGGTTGGGGATGGGGTGGGAGATACTAGCAATGGCAGCAGCTTTCAGGAAGGCACTATTCACACTGTCTGGACAAAACCATTCCACGGATTCTCTCCGAAGTCCAGCAGCCTGTAGTATAATCCACTTTTGATATGGCAGCAGCCCTGGGGGGTAGATTGACAACCCAGAACCCTAAGGGTATTTCTTCTTCTACAACCTACAGATTTTTACCAGTCACACAAAGACAGGCAAATTGACTTTTTTTTCAAGTAGCTGCCTTGAAGAACAAGTTCTGGTTTTCACTGATTTTTTTTTTTTTGAGTAAAATAACACAAGAAAAATCCTTGAAGTGTATTTTTAGTTCCTCTTTCCTGTAATGTTCAGAGAACATGAGGAATGACATTTGGACGCCCAAACAAAGAAGGCAAGTGCATACCTGTGTGTTTCTGTGGTTCCTTGTTGGGGAAAAAGACTTTTAAAGTTCTTGTATGAGCAGTGCCAGGTGATTCTGAATAGTTGTGTGGTGGGGGATCACAGGCACAAACTGGGCTGTTCTGGCTGAAATACCTGCTTGCCTTCTTGGGTATTGCTGGCATTTTTTCCTACCTCACCACTTCCCCAAGTGATTCGTGCTTGAGAATATGCTCCTGGGTGATCTCTGAGCTCACTCTTATCCAAGAGCAGGAAGTCAAACAGTGAGTGAGCAAACCACCTGCTGCTGTCTACTTTGCAGAGAGGAGTCTGAGACAATTTCCTGAACATCTTGTGACTATCAGAAAATATCTTTTGGAGGGCTAGAAGACCAGGGGATATAGTGTTTACATTTTCTGCCATGGAACTCAACCAGTCCACGTGGAACCAGTATCACACCCTGGCAAGAAAACTTCCCTAAGCAGGAAAGAAGCTATTCAAGGTAAGAATTCTCTTAATTTTTCATGCTTGTTTCTTAGGTTCCCATAAAAGTTATTCTAAAGAGGATACAATCCTATGTTTAGAAAGAGACGCAGCAAGGGAAAATAATCATTGCTTGAAGAATGGGTCAAATTTTGTTTCTCTCATCTTAGAGATTGTTTTCCATTATATCTGGGGATTTTTTTGTGGGGGGGGGGATTCGGGACTACCCTGTATTGTATTTAAAGGTAGGTGTGTGTGGTTACTGGAACAAACTTTAGGCTTACAGACAAAAACACTGGAGTCAAGAGGGAGTGGGAAAGAGTTCCAGGTTTGCTTCTTACATGTGTGTATTTGGCAAGTCATTCAGCTTCTGATTATCTACCTGTAAAGAGGTAATAACACTACATTTTAGGGTGGTTGTGAAGAGTTAATGGGAAAATGTAAAGAAATATGTCTGCCCCATAAAAGGCACTCATTAAATATTGTATATGCACAGTGATGTGTGTAGATATATTTTAAGTCTGATGGACTATCTGAATGATTACAATGCATTTTTTGATAATATCAAGTTGTTTGTACTTCTTTAAGAACATTTTTTTTAAATAGTAGCTAGATACCACATCTGACCAGTGAATTATGTGTTGTGAAAAGCATCCTAATGCTACTGCAATATATTGCCAAATAGAAGCAAGGAATGTAGTTGTGCTTTTTTTTTTTTTGAGTTGGAGTCTCACTCTGTCACCGAGACTGGAGTGCAGTGGCCGTTCCCGGCCACCGCAGCCTCGCCTGCCGGGCTCCGGCGATCCTTCCGCCTCAGCCTTCCAAGCAGCCGGAATTACAGGCATGCGCTACCACGCCCGGCTGATTTTTTGATTTATTGTAGAGATGAGGTCTCGCTGCCCAGGCGGGTCTCGAACCCGCGGGCTCAGGCAATCCACTAACCTCAGCCTCCCAAAGGCGCGGGATTACAGGCTGAGCCACCGAGCCCGGCTGTAGTTGTGCTTTTAAAAGGACCTTTGGATTCCTAGAAGTGCTTCTGAAAGTCTGACTTCCATGGGTTTTTCTCTCCAGATAGACCAGAAATTCTAGACCCCAGATGAGAGATACACTCTAGGGTGGTAAGGGATGGGAAGAAGAATGAGCAATGAAGGGTGGGGACTTCCTCTTACTAATTACGTCTCCATGTCCGTCAGTAGGTGCGCAACTCTTCTTTTTCTCTCTCCTGGGCTGTGGGTGGAGCCAGGTCCTGATCCCAGTGTGGCCAGCTGGTACATAGGGTAGGTTAGAGATCTCTATCGGCCAGCCTGGTGTAAAAGGCTCCTGGGCAGGCTCACTGAGGATATTTGCCCAGAGAAAACGCCTAGTTTTCCAACAGTTTGGAGTTGAACTTGATGTTTCTGGGAACGATTGGTTTGTAATAAGAGGCATTTTGTTCTGCCCAAGGATTCTGCCTTCCTCCTCCTTCCGGTTGCCTGATCTCTACCAGTTTCCATGATGGTTCAGTGGAAAAAACTCTGCCGACAACGTCACCTGTGGGCCCTGGGCTGCTATATGCTGCTGGCCATCATTGCTTTGAAGCTTTCTCTCAGGTTGAAATGTGATTCTGACCACTTGGATTGGGAGTCTAGAGATTTTCAAAGCCAGCACTGTAGGGATGTTTTGTATGATTCCTTGAAGCTGCCAGCAAAGAGGTCCATCAACTGTTCGGGGGTCACCCGAGGGGACCAGGAAGCAGTGCTTCAGGCTGTTCTGAATAACTTGGAGGTCAAGAAGCAGGGGCCTTTCACAGACGCTGACTACCTCTCCATGACCAGAGACTGTGAGCACTTTAAGACCAAAAGGAAGTTCATACGGTTCCCACTGAGCAAAGAAGAGTCAGACTTCCCCATTGCATACTCTATGGTGATTCATGAGAAGATTGAAAACTTTGAAAGGCTGCTGCGAGCCGTGTATGCCCCTCAAAACATATACTGTATCCATGTGGATGAGAAGTCCCCAGAAACATTCAAAGAGGCTGTCAAAGCAATTACTTCATGCTTCCCAAATGTCTTCGTAGCCAGTAAGCTGGTTAGGGTGGTTTATGCCTCCTGGTCGAGGGTGCAAGCTGACCTGAACTGCATGGAAGATTTGCTTCAGAGCTCAGTGCCTTGGAAATACTTCCTGAATACGTGTGGGACAGACTTTCCTATAAAGACCAATGCCGAGATGGTCCAGGCCCTTAAGATGTTGAATGGGAAAAACAGCATGGAGTCAGAGATACCTACTGAATACAAAAGAAACCGCTGGAAGTATCACTATGAGGTAGTGAAAGATACCTTGTACATATCCAACAAGGAGAAGGGTCCTCCCCCTCATAACGTAACTATGTTCATAGGGAATGCCTATATTGTGGCTTCTCGAGACTTCATCCAGCACGTCTTAAAGAACCCTAAATCCCAACAACTGATTGAATGGGTAAAAGACACCTATAGTCCCGATGAACATCTCTGGGCCACCCTTCAGCGTGCACAGTGGATGCCCGGCTCTGTTCCCTTGCACCGCAAGTATGACATCTCAGACATGACTTCTATTGCCAGGCTAGTCAAATGGCAGGAACACGAAGGAGACATCAGTAAGGGGGCACCTTATACCTCTTGCTCTGGAATCCACCAGCGATCTGTCTGTATTTATGGGACTGGAGACCTGCACTGGATGCTTCAAAGCCATCACCTGTTAGCCAACAAGTTTGACCCAAAGGTGGATAATAATGCACTTCAGTGTCTGGAAGAATACTTACGTCATAAGGCCATCTACGGGACTGAACTCTGAGGCACACTTTGAGATTGTTGATACCTGTGGGGCAATGATTAAACATGCCCAGAACTGGCTGGGACAATGTGGGGTGGGGGACCAGGGTTTTGGGCCTGGCAACCCCTAGGATAAGAGGGCTGCTATTGGAGTGTGGGTAAATAGGTCTGTGCCTTGCAAATGGCTTCCCTGGGTTAGTGCTGACCTCTCACCCTCAACCCCAGTAATTCCTCCATTGACTTTCTCACAGAGTGAGAATGAGAACTGCTGTTACTTTATAGGGCAAGGGAGAGAGGACTGTGTGACAAGGGTCTCTGGATTTCATTTGAGTGCCTGGTGGCAGCTTTTTAACCCTGTGGAAATGCTGTTCCTAGTAATTCTAGGTTTGGTGGTGTGAAGGGGGACTTAGACGGAAGGAGAGCCTTCCCTTTTGTCGTGTTAACTTAAAAATAAATAGCTCCTAAAGTCCTACCTCTACTTTGTGCCTAATACACTGGAAACAATATAAACAGATAAATGTTTGAAATGTTTTCTCATAATTCTTGGTGACATTTGAAGTCTCCAGGGGCTGGAAAGAGAGATCTTATTCTGAAATGGTCCTGACAAGCTCTATGAATTCAAAAGGATATAGCATAACAGAGCTCATTTTTTCATTATTAAAAGCTTTCCTCATTTCGTTTATTTTGCCAGGTCCATGACTTTTCTGTAAGGGAAAAGGCAGGCGATTTAACCAGTTTGACCATCTATATCCTTATAGGAAAATTATGGCACTAAATTTGTCAGCTTCACAGCCAGAGATTAACATTTCATAACAGAGATAAGCTATTTAGATAAGGTCACATATAATTTATTGTTCAAAGTGGAACACTTTTTAGTAGGGGTGCACTATTCATACTTGAGAAACAAAAATAAACTAGGAATATTTAGCTAGACAAGGATATCTGCTTATTCCATGTTTAGGCCCTTGAGTCAAAACTCTCATATTTAATATGTGAATGGAAGGGTCACTATTTGTGATTCTGCCAATGATACATTTCCTTGTGGGGAGACAATAATGTGTGTAAATATATACATCATATTTATACACATATTACATATGTGTATACACACACACATGCACACACACACTTCCTTATCTCCCAAATGTCATCCAGTGAAACAATTTTGTTTTTGAAGCTCCAGAGATAATTGTTGGCTATTTAAATCATATTCTTATGTGATGGGCAGGGGATACTATAAAAATGTAGGCAGTGCTCTTTGAATATAGCACAGCTAGACTTCTGCATATGATATGTGCTGGAAAAGTGGTTTATATGCAAGTTAATTTGTGTAATTTGAATTATGTTCCCATTACTATGTCATGATGTCATTAATGTGCTTCTTCATTTCTGATTGTGATTCAACTAATCAAGTTTTCTCTCATGATCAACTTTTTCTGTATGATCCCTGTAACTCTGATAGTCATCATGTGTTTGACACATGTATTTTTTTTTTTTTTTTTTTGAGTTGGAGTCTCACTCTGTCACCCAGACTGGAGTGCAGTGGCCACTCCCGGCCACCACAGCCTCGACCTGCTGGGCTCCAGCGATCCTTCCTCCTCAGCCTTCCAAGTAGCTGGAACTACAGGCACGCGCTACCGTGCCCAGCTCATTTTTTTGGATTTCTTGTAGAGATGAGGTCTCGTCAAGTTGCCCAGGCGGGTCTCGAGCCCGCGGGCTCAGGCAATCCACTCACCTCAGCCTCCCAAAGCGCGGGATTACAGGCTGAGCCACCGAGCCGGCTGACACATGTATTTTTAATTTAGAAGCTCATGATTCTTTTGTGTAAGGTTGTAGGCCTTTGGTGAAGGGCACTGCCATCACCAGCTGCCCTGCACTGTAATACTGAGTCCTCCTAACCTTGCTCCCAGCCTCCCCATGGAGATGATTGACGAATGATCATATGCGCAGTGGATGTTCCTTGTGTGGTCTATCTCCAGCAGTGCCATCCTGGCCTGCCTCCTCACTAGGCCATGTGACTGTCCTTGGCCTCCTCTGAGGAAGACAGAAGGGGGCGCACTGCCACTATGGAAAGTAGGCAGAGAAGATTCCTTGAGTGCTCGTGTTCTGGGAAAAGAATCTAGATCTTTGGCCTCATAATTAACTTACCCTAAAAGCTTTCCTGTGAAATAATTTATTATTTTTCACATAAATAAATTAAAAAGATTAAAATGTGAACTTGTCATTTTTGGGAGAACAAGTTGCTGAAATTTTCCAAGCATTGAAATTTTGTCTAGAAATACATTCAGGTGAATAGGAAATGTTCCTTATTTACTAACACAAAGTCTTCATATCAGAAGGGTCAGATTTCTCCCTCACTTGTTTAGTGTAATGTAGAACTCATACAATTATAGCAATACATCTGTTGATTTTTCTTTCAGGGTAATATGTTTCTTTAACCTTTCTCTGGAAAGGCAAAATATTATCAATGAATTGAGCAACTATGTTTGCATTACCTCTTGGAGTTTGAATTTCCTCCTTAATTTTCAATTTGTGGACTATTGGAGAGCATTGTTATAGTAACTCTATCTTTGTTGCATACTCTGCTCACTGTAATTTTTTTTTCTTGATTGAGTAAAAATTTTTTAAGAAGAAAAAGGCAGTCGATAACCTTGTTTAGAAACATATGACATAATTTAGTTGAGAAGGTCAAGAATTTTGATAATTTAGTTGGGAAAGTCAAGAATTTTGAAGGTCAATGAAAAGAATAATTAAATACCTTGCCTGCTTACCTGCTTTAAGTACCTTAATTGACCCACATATCTGTTCTTTTGAAATAAATGATTATCATTATTTTTAGAGATGGAGCCTCACTGTGCTGCCCAGGCAGGTCTTGAACTCCTGAACTCAAGTGATCCTTTCACCTTGGCTTCCCAAGTAGCTGGGACTACAGGCACACACCCCTGGGTCCAGTCCCAAAGACCTCTTCTTTCTTCCATTTAGTCAGTCATCTATCATGAAGATGAGTAAGATATGGTTCCTGCCCCTATGAAACTTGAGTGACTGACACACATTGAAATAACATATCCATTCATTACACAAGTAGCAATTGAGCTTCTGCAGACTTACTAGGCATTGTTCTTGACACAGGGGATACAGCAGTCAACAAAACAGACAAAAATCTCCACACTTGTGTTGTTTGCCCACTAGTGGGAAGCAGACTGTGAATAAATACATATTAGAAGGCGACACAGTCTAGAGAGAAATCCAAGGAAGTTACAGAGACCTTGGGAAAGGAGGGGAGAGGATGCTTGCATTTTAATTAGGGTAGTCAGGGAAACCCTTAATGAAAAGGTGATGTTTGAGGAAAGATCTGAAGGAGATGAGCAAATGATCCATGAGGGTTTTAGGAGAAGAACATTCTAAGCCAAGAGGAAAGACTTGTGAGGCCCTTAAACAGGAACATGCCTTCCATGTTTTAGGAAGAGCAAGGAAGATGAGTATTAAGTGGAACAGAGAAAGGAGGATAAAAAGAGTTCAGAGGGGCATGCAGAGGAGGAAAGGATAGACCTTGGTTAACCTTTAGATGAACTCTGTCTTCTCTGAGTAGGAGGCCACTGGGGAGTTTTGAGTGGAAGAGTGACGTGAACTGAGTAGCAGTAGGCTGACTTAGCTGATGCATTGAGAACCAACTGGTTCAAAGGTGAGAGTGGAAGCAGGGAGGCAGTTAGGATGTTCTGGCAATACTCCAGGGGCTATGCACCAGTGGCTTGGCCGAGGGTAATAGTAGTAGAGGTGATGAAGATGGTCAGATTCTGGAAACACTTTTGAAGATTGAATTTGAGGATTTGCAGTGTCTATGAGAGAAATAGACAAGTCAAGATAACCCCAAGGTTTTTCATTCTTTTAGGTAGGTGGACTTGCCATTAGCCAAGGTCAGAGGACCGTGAAAAAGTGATTTTTAGGGGAAGATCAGGAGTTTGATTCTGAACATATGAAATTGGAGATGCCTGTTAGCCATCCAAGTGGAGATGTTGAAGAGTTGGATGTGTACAGAAGTCTGAATTCAGGAGAGAGGTCAGACTGAAGAGAGTTTCCTGGAGTTTATAGCTTATAGATTGTGTCAAATCATGAAACTGGATGAGAGCCTTAAAGGAGTGAAAATAGACTAGAGCCCCCAAATGAGTTCTGGAGCTTGCCAAAATGCAAAGGACAGGGAGATAAGGAGGAACCAACAAAAGAAGTTGGAAAAGAGCAGCTAGTGTGGTAGAAAGAAAACTGGGTGAGTGTGGTGTTCTAGAAGCCAATAAGAGAAAGTGTTTCAGGGAAGACAGAGTTGATAACTGCGCCAAAACCTGCTGAGAATCACATCATGGGCGTGAAGAAATGAATGTTGGATTTAACAATGTGGCAGTGACCTTGATGAGATCAGTTTTTTGGAAGTGAGGAGGTGAGAACCTGATTGGAGGTGGTTCAAAGAGAATGTTAGAACAAAACTGGATTCAGAGAATATAGAGAAATCTTTTAGGAGTTTTACTTTAAGCCAGAGAAGGAGAAAAATATAGTACAGTAACTGGTTAAGAGAAAGTGGTTTTAAAAATTTTTTAAATGATAACATGTTTCTGTGTTGAAGGAAAAAGCATCTCATCAAGAGGAAAAGATGATTAGCCAAGCGTGGTAGCATACGCCTTAGTTCTGCCTACTTGGAAGACTGATGCGGAAGAATCACTGGAGCCCAGCAGGTCGATGCTGGGGTGGCTGTGAGTGTGCCACTGCACTCTGGCCTGGGCAACAGGGTGAGACTCCAACTCAAAAAAAAAAAAAAAAGAAAAGATGTAGGAATGGGATAGGAGGCTTGCCAGAATGACATTCTTGTCGAGGAGAGAGGGATGCTTATTAGGGTGCACAAGAAGAAAGACTTACCTTTGATTGAAGTTGGAACAGTCTACCCACAGTAACACTAGTGAAGGCAGCGTGGATGAGTGGATGAAGATGGGTAAATGGGTGGACATGGTGGTAGGATTTGTGGAGTTCTTGTTCTGTTTTTAAATTAACATATTTTCTGAAGTTAAATATATACATATGGAAAATCACAAAAGTACTAAATATGGTTCAAGTATGTTTACAAA